CTCAGGGTCCAGCAGGCAATGGAGCGCACCAGGGCCTTTTTCTCGCATAGACACGCTATGAGGTGAGGGATCAGCTCTGGCAGGTAGGCCACCATGCCCTGCATGCAGCCTGAGGAATGAAGAGGGGCAACACATTAGATAATTTTTTATTTTTGTTTTTAAAGGACAATAAGCCGAGATTTTACCATTACGGAAATGTATTAAATTAAAGATTGGTTCCGTTTCGGATAAGTGGCCAATACAAATATTGACTATTCTCTACTGGAATTTTGAAAGGACCACAACCGCATGTTTGTCCTGAGCCTCTGGTTTACCCTAGTTTATTTCTAGAAACATTTGTTCATGTGTGGTCGGGAATGTTCTAAGATTATATAATTCTGGATCAGAAAATATAGGAACATTAGGTATCATCGTAAATCAATGAGCTGGGTGTTTCATCATGTCCAGATGTAAGAGACTATTTAGCAGATACTGAGCCAGCAAGATGACAGCTGCTCTCCCAAGTATCACATGTTTGTATTCAGTGTTACAAATGTTTTAACCTGTTAAGCCCCGAGCCCGTTTTCCAGGTCTCAGGCTCGAAAATGACATTCCCAGAACAAATGACCATAACTTCACTTCTAAAAAGGGGTAAATTAATAATCTTTTTTCTCAAAGCAATGATAAACCTGTGAGTTGGATGTAGAAGAGCCAGAATCAATCTAGATTTTTTTTATTTTAAGGTCAATTCAGATTGAACACTATGATGGGATACGAGTAGACTAAAAGCTTTAGGAATCCAAACTATAACATATAATAAGTACCCTGTATCAAGATTGATGCAAAACAAGTTAAATTTGACCTATTTAGAGAGATCTTAAAAAAAAAATCACTTCTGGGGTCATTTGGGTGGATTTGACGTATCTCTGGCCCCCCTTGGTCGATTTTGATGATTGACATCCCTTTTTAACCGCTAGAGCCAATGGAATCGAGGAGAAGTTCCACATACACACGTTACCAAATAAGGAGGGAGTGACGCGTAGCCGAAACTGTCATACACTCTGGAAGCTATCATTAGCAGCTAATATGAAAACTCAGTTTGACATAAAAATGGAATTATAGATCAAGAATTTTTTCAAAGTGACAGACACATTGGATTAACCTATGGATTAACCTTCAGCCGCGTTTCTCTCGTTTTAATGCCATTGAACACAACTTTTGATCAGAATAACAGCAAACGGTGAGCATATCTGTTTTTTGCTACCTAAAGCTACGCCGTGTGATGTCTGCATTTGCTTCCCCTGTCGCGAGTTCTGATCGCTCAGTGATGATACTTATATTTCTAGAATTTGTGGAATCTCAGCTTGCTAGCAAAGCTTGTTCGTGCAGATCCGACAAGTATATCGATCGATTTAAACCTAGAGTTATGTGCTAAGTGCGTTAGCATTTTTTCGCTCAGGGCTCATTTAGGTGCTTCTTGTGAGACTTGTGTTTTGTTTCGGTAAAAAAAATGTCATATCGTCAGTTAGCTTGGTTTCTTCCCGTTAAGTGAGTGACACATTCATAGTTTATTACATTTTAAGAAGCTCTGAGACACAGTTTCGTGAAAAAAAAGCCTGTTAAGCAAGTCCTGTCAGTCTTACCCTCAGCTATGGCCCCCAACACCAGGATGCCAGACTCCTTGATGACCCAGTCGGGGTGGAAGAGGAGGCCTTTCAGCAGCGGCAGGAGGTGGGGCAGCAAGTCGTCACGGAACACGTTGGCGAGCACATCCAGCGCTGCAGCTGAACACTTTCCTACATTAAAAAATAAAATTACAATCATTCTTAAACGCCCCCCAAACTTTGTTTTACATGCGACTTGACATCAGAAGATTAAGGCAGGAACCCACTCTGCAGGGTGGTGGCTACTGATGACAGACACTGGAAGAAATACAGATATAAACAATGTTGTCTGGGGTTGCATGTCCATTTCAACCAACTTTATCAATGGCATTGTTTGCTAAACTCCTTATTGGTCTGAAAGAGATTTATACAAGTTTCTCATAGGAAAGCATTCCACCTGTTCTGAACTATGGAAAATGTTCAAGTTACAGAGAAAACAATTATGGACTAAGTGGAAACTTTTGTGCCATATCTGGATCAGAAAATATAGGAACAAAATGTATCATCTTGTGTCAATGAGCTGGGTTTTTCATCATATCCAGACATTGGGCATTAGTTTTAAAGTGCATCCATTTGTATAAAAACAAACTTTTTTTAGGTTGGAGTATGCTACAATTAGTTTGTGCAAATCTGTATGAAAACCAACTATCTACTTTGAAGTGAATGTACAACGTGCTGAAAGAGTGGAAAACTGTAGTTGGTCCAAAGGAAACGATATGAATTTAGACCTGAATTCAGACAAAATGTACACAGTCAATCAGCAAATGGCCCCTTTTTCACAAGTTGCCACGTTTCAGGAAATATATTTCTCCGTCACTTACGCAGGTTCCAGTCAGACAGCGTGTCGTCGTCATCATCGTCATCGTCATCATCGTCGTCATTGTCCTGCTCACCCTCTGCTCCTTCGTGCTGCAGGGTGACGGTGCGTGACTTGTGGAATCTGGGCTTGATATCCTGATCGCTATCCGGTACCGCCTCGTCCTCCTCCTCCACATCGCCCTGTGTAAAAAAACAACACTTTACTTCAGCAACATCATGATTTTATTTACTTTAGCCATAAATGCTATACTTTTTTCAGCATAGATCATTTTTACAATGAGTATAGTCGTGGAAAAATGAAATGGAGAAGAAATACAACAGCGTAGAACAGAGCTTTGTCAAATCTGGATCAGAAAATATAGGAACATAGTGTATCATCGTGTGTCAATGAGCTGGGTGTTTCATCATATCCAGATCCAAGAAGGACTCAAAAGTCCAACTATGTTGAGGTAGCTCAGCAATCATCCAAAAACACTATAGGGTCATAAGATAGTATATGAGCATTGGGTAAAACAATAAAAAGAGAGCTTACCTTTAATAGTATGATGTCTATCTCTGAATACTTCATCCCATTGACCAGGATAGGCGTCAGTCTACATCAAGGGGAGAAAGGATATTACGTGCTTGGTTAAAACATCCGAGAAATCTCATGTGCAAGTTTATAAGTGGCGGCTAATTATACGTTTTTTATTTTATTTTAACTGAGTCTACAGTAAAACAGAGAAACTAGGGATGGGCTGTTTAGAATTTAGAATGGAACACAATACAAAAAAAAAGAAAACAGTCAGGTGATTGTTGTGAATTCAAATTTGTATAATCATGAAAATAATTGCCGTTCATTTTAGTGACATTTAGAGTTAAGATGGCGGATCTGGATCAGAAAATATAGGAACATAAGGTATCATTGTAAATCAATGAGCTGGGTGTTTCATCATGTCCAGGTGCAAGACTGACTTATGCCATGTTAACAGGAAATGTTGCCTCGAGTCACTTTAAGGATAATATTGTACAACAATTATTTTGGCCAGAGGAATGGTGACATGAAAGGTTGATATCGTTTCAAGGCTTCACAGAACACACACGACATCTACAGTAGTTCTACTCACTGCGCCAGGTGTCCGGACAGACTCTCCTTACAGATGGGCTGCTCAGCCAAAGTCAGCCAGAACTCGCAGGCCTCCAGAGCCACGTTCTCGTCGGGGTCCTGGGTTCTCTGCAGCATGTACTGCAGGGGGTGAGAGAAATATGCATTTCAGATCGGAAAGTGTACTATTGGGTAACATCCTAGAACAAAACCCTGGCCGATCTGGATCAGAAAATATAGGAACATAAAAGGTATCATTGTAAATCAATGAGCTGGGTGTTTCATCATGTCCAGATACAAGACTGACTTATGCCATGTTAACAGGAAATGTTGACTTGAGTCACTTTGCAAGCTTGAACGTAGGATCATTTCTGCTTATGATATTCCATTGAGACACTTTGCTTCAATTTAACTTCTCAGCAGCTTAAAATATGCCAATGTCTGCTGGTGCAAATGAGTGTCCTTGCATTGACTTTATATGTAAAAACGATTTGCTTTGTGTTTTTGGGAACATACCATTAAAGATGTTTTTAAATGGAGGTACACAGTTGATTGAGGAAATGTCCAACGCTTACCTGGATGATGCTGTGCATGTGTGGGATGAGGCGGTCGACGCGGACCTCCAGTAACATGACGAGGGCTCTGCACACGTTTTTTCGAACCTCAGAGTCCTCATCTGCTGCCAGCGCAAAAAGACTCTGTTTTTTTGGGGGGGGAAATAACACGTTGGGATGAATAAAAAAAACTAGGGAAAGAAAATGTTTAACAATGAGGCAAACTCTACTTTCTTTGGACTTCTACTCAAACGCAGCAATAAAGTCAGATCAACCTTCAGCTATGCATAGAGCCTTAGCAAATCTGGATCAGAAAATATAGGAACATTAGGTATCATTGTATATCAATGAGCTGGGTGTTTCATCATGTCCAGATGCGATACAAACTTAAAAGTACAACTGCAAGTTTAAATGTAAAAAGCCTGTTATGGAAAGGCTCTCCCAGGTGAAAGATTACTCCCATATGTATTTGTCATACAGTGAAACTGAAATGTTTGACAGTAAACCTTAGTAACACTCAGCATACCTCTATGAATGTGTCGATGTTGTCCATTAGGGCCTGGGCTCTGCCGATGATGAACTGGTTCACACAGGCGATGGCATGAGACCTGCAGGGACAGGGACATTAATAAAAAACAGTATTACAGTCACAGAGAGATGGATTAGTGATAGCAACATTAGGATTGGTTTGAACTTGTATTAATGTATTTAAAAAAAAAAGCTAACACCTCATCTTGCATAGGGCATATTTTAGTGTGAGCCCAAAACGATTATTAATTTGTGTTTTTGAAAATAAAGTTAGATCTCAACAATGCGGCACAAAAAAAAAAAAAAGTTGGCAATTATCTAACTATTAAGTTGCACCTCAGTGTGATTTGTAAAGTGATAAAAGGGTAATATCTGGATCAGACAGTATGAATACGAACACCTTCATTGTAAGTCAGACGTTATATTGTGCATCACATCCAGAAGATAATAACAAACACCAATCAGAGTGAGCCTCTTTCCCTCCTGTACCTAATCTTGGGGCTGCAGTGCTTGAAGAACTGGAGGAATTTGGGGATCATAATGTTGAGAGGTCTGTTCAGAGCGTCGCTGTCGAGCAGCTCCGACGAGTCCTCGCAGATCTTCTGCAGTGCTCCAAACGAGCCCTGAGACACGGACATACACAGAGAGGCTGTCAAATCAAACGCAAACATACAGGGACACAGAGGAGAGAGTGAGCACTGTACACAATTCATTTAAGTCACAAATGCTAAACTTTGTCTCGGTCAAGTTATTTTTCACAATGGGAATTTATAAATGTCTCAGACTTAACTAAAATAAAATAAATGACAGTCGGAAGTAGGAGCTGACACATCAAAAAACGAACAGAGATTGAATTAAATATATCACTATTGAGCAACAAGACTGAGCATTGGAAAATCTGGATCAGAAAATATAGGAACATTAGGTATCATTGTAAATCAATGAGCTGGGTTTTTCATCATGTCCAGATACTAACAACCAGCCTTTCATTGGTTAAAAACAAAGGAAGAACACAGCGGAGCAGCGTGGGTACAGACCTCGCAGGTGTTGTAGTCCTCCGAGTTGAGCAAGTTGCAGAGCTGAGGCAGCAGCTCAGGCCATGTTTGTAGCTCTCCCTTGGAGGCAATGGTAGTGATCAGGATGCCTAGAGGAGAGAGAAACGGGGGATGGCAGACGTCAGATAGGGATTTATAATTAACAGGATGTAGAGCGGCTGCAGCAGCTCTGGATCAGACAGTATGAATACAAAAACCCTTCATGTGCATTCAGATGTTTTAAATGTTTTTATGCATCATCTCCAGAGGGCAAGGGGAGGAGTGTGAGTGTCGAGGGAAGCTAGGCCACAACAATTATTTAACATCACACTTCAGTAAAACAAAAAACTCACCAATGGTAGCACGAATGAGCGGCGAGGGGTCGCCGATGTTGTTGAGACATTCCTGCTTGATGAATTCAGCAACGGTTGGGGGGAAGTTCTGGTAGTGGGCCTTAACATTGTTCTTCAGTATCAGACCGCTCAGAGAGCGAGTCGGCTCGTCTGCGGAGAAAACAAACAAAAATAAGTTTAAATAAAGTTGAGGGTGGTTAACAACCCATCAACAAAATGTGTCTATTTAATGAAGTTTAAAGTTTTTTTTATGATTTTGCATATATTTCCCTGATAATACCCATTTTGTTTTTTATTATATTGAATTGGGCTGTCAGCAGAGCCTTGGTAAATCTGGATCAGAAAATATAGGAACATAAGGTATCATTGTAAATCAATGAGCTGGGTGTTTCATCATGTCCAGATACTAACAACCAGGCTGCCGGCCATATGACTAATTTACTTAAGTCTTAGTCGACTAACACTAAACAACCAATAATTTGACTGATCTAAGAGGGGGGGGGAAGCCCCACATGCCAAATGTTTCCCAAAAACCAGTCAAGATGCAAAATAGACAATATTCCTGTCGAGATACCAGTTCTACTTAAACTCAATAAATTGCACAATCACAGTTTTGTAACACAAGTGTAAAGTAGATTCTGTTGCATTTCTAAGAACAATTTAAAGACAAAAGGCCTTTCGAAACCGGAACAAAATAATACCATTACAGCTGCAAAATTGACAAACTAGACTACAGTACAAGTGTGTTCAAAATGGCAAAAAATATATCTGGCTCTCACCTTCAGTTTTGAGTCGCGTGAGTACAAAGATGAGATAGTTGTTGAAGTCGGGGAATTGGTTGAGTTGTTCAAGTTTCTAGCATGGCAGTTAAGGATCATTTCATATTGAATTTTCAAGTCAGGTGACTAACCTTTGATCTCTATACCAAGCAATGTGTTTCACAACTGTACAATATTAAAATGTTTGTAGAATTACAAGTTCCTCCCCATGGAAAAAAAAGAGACTTTTATGCAGCTGATGCAACTTTCAGATATAGGAGCTTGCTTCTAGCTCTTGATCAACTGCCCTTCTTCTACTCTGGGGAAACAGTAAAATCCTAAACATGTGGATAACACTCAAATCTGATAACATGGCAGTAGTAAAAACAAATAAAGAACACTGTACGGGTTAAGATCCCTTTGCACTAGCACTAAAAACATTGATGTTATTGGACAGGCAGAAAAAGAATATTGAAAACTAGCTTTATTAACACCCAGATTGCAGTGAAGTAGGATACTTGTTGGACAGCTCTCTGTGTGACTGTGTTGGGGGATTGTGAGTCTTTGAGCAGTTGGAGGACCTGCTGAAGTCCCTGCTCATCTGGCTGCCACTCCATCCTGAAAAACAAACGTGTACAAAAACCAATCCACATTAATGTATTTCTATACACATAAAGAGAGTATTCACACAATATAAAACGTTTACATAGAAGTAGTTAGTGGTTTTTGGATCAGACAGTATGAATACAAACACCATCACTGGCAGTCAGATGTTTTTTTTTATGCATCATCTCCAAAAACTATGTGGATGTTTAGGAAATACAGAGGCAATTATCTATTTTATTATGGCTTTTAGCAGAGGAAAAAAAAGAGTACGACTCAAATTTGTTTGCAAAGACCCAAATACTTGTCCTTCCAAGGACTACCTCTCCTATGGGTGTATTATGACTGAGATCACATTGCAAAAATAAATCACGTATATTTGATTTAAAAACCCAAATCAGAAACTGAAAGATAAGATTCCATGTGATTTATTTTCTTCCAACAGGGTGAACAGTAACATACAGATCAACTATTTAAAAAAAAAGTTTGGCTACTTTTGATGACATCTTTAGTAATCACTACTAACACACAATTTGATGGCTCTATGAAGACTTTTTTTTTTTTTAAACAGTCATTGCAATACTCTACTAAAAAGGGTCCATGTTTAATATAAAAGGTTATAACTAACAGGCCCTTCTTTGTGACACATGTTCAGTCAATCAACCAGTTTACTAGATGATCGAAGAAGAAAGGGAATAGCCTATGGGCATGTGTAGGAAGAAGTTGCACATGCTGTAGAGACTTTTCAAGCCACTCAATGCAATACCTTTCTTTAAAAATAAATAAAAAGGGGTCCATTCTTAATATATACGGTTATATAAACCTCTGCAGACCCTACTTGGTGTTATCGTTTCGGTCAGTGAACCAGTTCCAAGATGATCGAAGAAGAAAGGGAAAAGCCTAAGGACATGTGTAGGAAGAAGGTGCACATGTTGCAGGTTCAAGGCGGACATAGGGGCCTACTAGTTAGCTACGGGCTAATTTTAAGAGACAATATAAGCGCGGAAACGATAGGCCACACAAAGTGCCAGCCTGCTAACACATACAATTATGAATGCAAATCGGATTGTGGAACCAAAAAAAACAGGTCATTAGACAACACGACTAGCTAAAATCTCTGTGACCCGGCTTAGCCGCTCCAAGTTAATCCTCCCCCACCCCCGCGCCACCCGGTCTGCTGGTCTAAGTTAGAGAAACGCTTTGTGTCTCAATATCTTCCCTCTACATTCCACACCGTGTACGTGGATGGGACACTCGCGATTTACCAGAGGAGTGGTGTTCATCCGGGTTTTAGAAAAGTTGTCGCGAAATAAGTTAGCCATGTAGCTTTAGCTGGGCCGCCATGTCCGGTCCATAGCTCGCAGTATGTGTGGTTTAAACCAATTAACGCATATTTGACTGGCTTGGTTAGCAATTGATCAGCATATTGTCGTTTATCCTGAACATATCGGTTGTTAACGCACAGTTTTAGACGCCTTTGCACAGTTGTCTTGGTGCTGGTAAAGTTGCCCTTCTTGCTCGGGCCTGGTCGACAGGCGCAGCCCCCGACTGGTCACAATGTGCCCGGCATAAAAACAGAAAAATGCCAGTCTGCTATCAAAATGAGGCCCTGTACCACCGTATATGTTAAGAAGAACACAACATCTGAATGTTGAAGTACACCATTGCGTTCAATACGTGATTCACAGCCAATACTGGGTTCACATTTGGTGAACACGTTTTTGCAAGCTGGCGTTAGCTGCTAAGCCTTGAGCCGTTTTTAACTGACGATGCTAATGCTACTAGCCTGGCTAATGCTATGTAACGGACACTTGATATTTGTTGTATCAGAAAACCTTACCCGATAAAACGGCCTCGATGTTAAATATCTCTAATATAAATGTTTTGTTAAAGTACAAGCACCATACTCTACGTACAATATTTAGTTGAAAGTTGAGTTTTCGTACTGGGCCGCTGTCCTCCCCTGCTTCGTAGCGGTTCCTCTTGTTCAAATGAGCACGCCGATTGAAATTGACCTATAGCGGCTTCCGTTCATTACCCATTTTCGCAAACTACGCGAGATTACAGAGTCGCTTTTTCAAATGTTTATGATAATGATTAAAAATTAAGCACAAACCATAATAATAAATACATATGATGGTACGGATTAATTAACATAACAGTAAATGTATATATTATAAATCATGAAAGCATTTACAGGATGTGGGTGGTGTTTTGATCATGAAATAAAGGAATATTATAAAGTTTTCATATTAAATAAAGTGTGTATTAGTTGGGCTACAACTCAAAGTTCAACAGATTAATAAGGAAATAAAAAAATTGTATATCATTTGATCCTATTTTTGTTGAAATTGTATATACATAAATAAAAACGTAGTAGTTATTAATTTCTTTTTTACAGGACGTTTCTTTATTTACACATACAAACCATGTAAAAAATGCAATATCATGTAAAAGATGCAATATCAAATGACCACTTTAAATATATCATGAAATAACTCCAGATATCACAGTTTAACATTTACATTCAGTTGGTTCAAAATAGCAAAAGTTCCTGTAGCTCTTAAATTCATTTGTATGTTATATGGGCTTTTCTGCTTTACATATTAACACATGATCAAATGTCCAACATTCACAAGCTTATCTGGAAGTTAATAATTCAAATTGAACAAAAACATCCTCAGCCAATGGATAGGGCATTCATTCAGGGACACCTGATTAGAAAAACTACGTTTTAGCATGGCTTTTCCTTTTAAATGTCCATACTATACATACTTACGTAACACAAATGTACTTACATTCCAAACAGTATCCTGAGTTATACATGTCATTATGTGTATAAGAAGGTGCTATCATCATAAACAATTCCTAATTTACTTTATATTTAGGGTCCAGTCTGGATTAATGTGTCGATCAGCCTTCGCGGCAGCTGGCCCTAGGCTCTGGAACACTCTGCCCCTCCATGTGAGGTCGGCCCAGACCCTAGGGGTTTTTTAATCTACTCTTAAGACACACTTCTTCTCCCTGGCCTTCTAGTCAGAGCGGAGCACGACTCCTGACTTTTCCCTGTGTTTTCTTTTGAAATATCTGTTGTAATTTATTGTCTTTTATTGTGATTGTAGTCATGTGTTTTTATTACATGTACAGCACTTTGGCTCGACCAAAAATCGCTTTTAAATGTGCTTTATAAATAAAACTTGATTTGATTTGATTTGATTTGATCATAAAATAAATACTATTTACTGCACCCCCAGTACATTGTCAGTTTGTGGCCACATGTGTTGTTTTGCCTTACCCACAACAATGGGGGCCTATATTTGAGATGTAATTAAAAAAGGAAATGTAAGGAAAGTGATTGCCATGTGCTTAATAAGTAATATTTAAATGTAGAAGTCAGGTTAGAGAGAAAAACTGTCTGACTGTCATAAGCTTTGGTACATTTCCAATGACCTGAGCCCACCCTCCTGGGGCCTGCAGAGATGCTACTGAAACCTTTCCTGAGGGTCATGGTCTAAAATCACATTTCTACATTAAACATGTCCTGCACATTTCAAAGAAAAAAGAAAAAACATGTGAGATGAATGTCGATAAGTCAATGTAGAGGGTGGTTGGGTCCCCAGCACGGCAGGACACTTAACCCAAAATTGCTCCCAATGGCTTGTGTGTAGTCTCTCCTTGTAAGGAAGCCTCTGCCTCTGTATGAATGTGAGTGAATGGGTGAATTCTGACTTTGAGCTTTGAGGGGTCATTAAGCACTGTCTAAATGCAATCCATTCAAATGCAGTCCATTCATAGAGAAAACATCAAACTCTAAGTTCAAAAATAGTGGGCATAAAGTGCTTTTCGTAGCCCGACGTTGACTGATCTTCCTCTGATGAGCTCAAGCAATCTTCCTCGTTCTCCTCCTTCCTGTCCCTCTCCTCTTCGGAGTCAACCATTTTGCTGTACTCTTCTCTTCCGTATCTATGGTCTGCCCTGTGACACTCCTCTGGGACAGCTTCCTCCCTCTTATCGTCTTGACTGTCCATCTGTGAACACTCATCTCCGATCACTAGCCTTGTTAATCCTTCAGGGTCGGAGGCTTTTTCCAGGGAGGACTTAAAAACCCTGCTTCGGAGTTCCACAACCTCCAACAGAGAGATCTTGGGATGTAGCTCATAGAGGGGAAAGCAGATCCAATCCAAAGAGTCACTAATCTATTGGAGATCAAAGACAGAACCAATATTTAGTCAGGCTCTTCTGTTATGTTTTGGTTATACACAATCCAACTAGTACTTGACAACCTAACGGGAATTGTAGTTGTAAATGGGATAAAGTGATACCATTGGATTAGCAAAATAATAACATAACTCAAGAACAACAATCAGTTTAAATCTTTTTCTGACATACTGTAAGAAGACAAATTAGTCATTTCTTTGTCAATCTCTTACCAGGTGCTTGTTTTTGAAAATGTGGCTGTTACGGGCATCTGGCACTTTGTAATAGAAACTTGGAAGACACGCTTTGATCTCTCGCCCAAAAATACTAAGAGACAAAAGAGATTAGAAACAAAAAACAATATAAGACACCCATATTCAAAAAGAAACACTACATGAAGAACATGAACTGTCATACAAATATGTATAGAGGATATACATATTTATACATATTTGTATACATTACATTACATGTTACTTGTTAGACGCTTTTATCCAAAGCGACTTACATACTCAATACTGTGGGCAATCCCCACAGGAGCAATTTGGGGTGAAGTGTCTTGCCCAGGGACACAACGACATGCTGACTGCAGTGGGGGTTGAACCCACTACGCCACACACGCCCCATTATACATATTTGTATATTTGTATTATTGTATTTGGGATTTTTGGAAACGTTATTTCGATCTCTCTGTCTGTACAAACACATAGAAAAATTGACATTAAAGTTGACTTTGACTTTTGACTTACTAGCTTCAATATTCACACAATGGATAACACCAATACATGATGTATAACAGCTATGCATAACTCAGAGGACAATATAGGTTGAGCAATATGAAAAAAAACAATGACAAGTTGTTAAAGATGAATATCTCACCTGTATAAGGCAATGACGAGGCATATCACAACCACTGAAATGACTCCAAGCACAATTGGTAATATTAGGTGGGCTGTAAAAGAGAGTGAATGGGGGGGAGGGGGATTAAAGCCTGAAATGTACGGACCAACCTGTTATGGTTTAAGAATAATCTAATTACACCTCTCAAAATGGCTAATTACATTCAAAAAGAAAATAATTAAGATGTGAAGCAATACCGTAATTGTAATCGTGCTGCGTTTTGAACTTTGCGGTGGCATTTGCTCCGGGCCCGGCTGCCGTCACGGCTCTTATTCGCACCTCATAGTCCTGCTCTGGACTGAGATGCTCCAGCTTATAAGTATTTTCCTGCTGTGGGGATACACTCGCATTGTGAACTAGAAGAGAGAAATAATTTGAGGTAAAGTTAGTGACCAGAGAATCACCAAAGTATATCATTACTCTGGCATGCTTAATTATATTTATTTTAATATATTCATCATTATTTTATACATTCAAATTCATTTTGTAATGCCCCACATAAAACAGAACCAATTCAAGAGTTAGGATCGATTTTGACATTCAACTCTTAATTTCTACATCACTTTAACAATGCTAACATGCTGATATTGTTTAGCATTTTCCACATTTAGTAAAGCGGGCTAACAGTTGCACTTAGCACAGTAGTACAGCTATGACAGGTGGGGGTGTCATTAGTGTTTCAGGTATGTAGCCATAAACCACATTTTGGCAACTGATATTGCTAGATGAAAAGTTTTTCGTTTTTTTTTAAAATGAATGTGTGCATTGCATTCCATCCAATCATTGTTCTCTGCAAACATCACTGGAGATTCACGCTTTTATCCTTTGTTATATATTGTTGCTGTGTAGCCTACCGTGTCTGTGTACTCCACTGTATACAACTATTTGGTAGTACAGGATCACCCCACGCTGTTTGGATAGAGGAACAGACTCCCAAAACAAGGTCACTTGAGTGGCAGCAATCAAGAAGGCCTTAAATGATGGCACTGCGGAGGGGGCTGAAATTATACAGAGAGAAGTACATGATAGTTACAAGTCCAGTTTATTTGATGAGAAGAGACAACATGTTTTATTGAAATAAACTGTAATATTTAAAAAAAGACAGCTGAAAACAATGCTAAAATACTTACATCCTTCAAGTGAATATCGAATAACGGATGAAATGTGATGGACTTCACTGCCATGTGATAAAGTGAACAGTGACACTTGGTACGGGGTGTACTTTTTATATTGACCTGCAGAGGGAGACACACACCAGAGTTCAACAGGCAATCATACTGGTGTGAAAGCCGCAAGAGTGGTGATTATCATTGAGAGGTGGATAAGCGACAAAATTTTTTCTTCAATTAAGATCATCAAGTAAAAGTTGATTGCTAAATGTAATGGCTGTAGAATAATTATACCATGTGCATTTAGATTGGTTCTATATAAGCCGCGCTTTACAACACAATCCTGTCAGCCACCCGGTCATGATCCCCATCTCACAATAAAAGCCCTGGACATACAAGCTAAATCTCTGCTTACCAGAGAGTTTGCAATGAGGCAACTCAACAAATTGCCACAGTAGATATCCCAATGCAAGGGAACAACCAGAGGAATGTTAACAAGCCTGCTTATTAATGCTACTAGTATTTTTAGCACTAAGACAGGGGGATTTAGTACTTTGGGATCTTTACAAATGTTCCTTGATTTGGACAGTAACAGCAGCCATGTTGTTACAGATACAGTGGAGGAAATAAGTATTTGATCCCCTGCAGATTTTGTAAGTTTACCCACTTACAAATAAATTAACGGTCTGTATTTGTAATGGTATGTTTATATAACCAGTGAGAGTAAGAATATCAAAAACAAAAACCAGATATTGACATTATATAAAAGATAAAACTTGATTTGCATTTAACTGTGGGAAATAAGTATTTGATCCCCTTGTAACCAACAATAATTCTGGCTCCAACAGACCGGTTACATAAGTCCTCTTCTTTTAAAAAAGTACTCCTAATATCAACTTGTTGCCTGTATAAAAAACACCTGTCCACAGAATCAATCAATCAGATTCCAACCTCTCCACCATGGGCAAGACTAAAGAGCTGTCTAAGGACCTCAGGGACATCATTTAGACCTGCCTATAAGGCTGGGATCGGCTACACGATCATCAGAAAGCAGCTTGGTGAGAAGGAGACAACTGTTGGTGCGATTATTCAGAAGAATAATGTGTGTGTTTCTAAATGGAAGAAAGACAAAATGAACATCAATCGCCCTCGGTCTGAGGCTCCACACAAGATCTCGCCCCGTGGGGTATTGATGATCATGAGTAAGGTATCAGCCAATAACTGCACAGGAGGAACTTGTTAATGATCTCAAGGCAGCTGGGACTACAGTCACCAAGAAAACTATTGGTAACACACTACACCATAATGGATCAAATCCTGCAGCGCCCGCAAGGTCCCCCTGCTTAAGAAGTACATGGAAGGACTGTCTGAAGTTTGCCAATGAACATCTGAAGGATTCAGAGAAGGCTTGGGAGAAGATGATGTGGTCAGATGAAACACAAATGTTGATCTTTGGCATCAACTCGACCCGCCGTGTTTGGAGGAAGAGAAATGCTGACTATAACCCCCAGAACACCATCCCCACCGTCAAGCATGGAGGTGGAAACATTATGCTTCCTTTGGGAAGTCATGTACCGTACTCAGCCAGGACACTGAAAACGGGTCATGGATGGGTCTTCCAGCAGGACGATAAACCTGAACATACGGACAAGGCAGCACAGGAGTAGCTAAAGAAGAAGTACATGTAGGCGATGGAGGGGCCTAGCCAGTCCCCGGACCTTAATCCCATAGAAAATCTGTGGAGGGATCTGATGTTTCGAGAGGCCAAGCATCAGCCTAAAAACCTGAAGGATTTGGAGAGGATCTTCAAGTGGACCACAATCCTCCCTGAGATGTTCACAAACCTGGAGACCAACAAGAAGCGTCTGACCTCTGTGTGTCCAACAAGGGTTTCTCCACCAAGTACTAAGACATGTTTTGCAAGGGGATCAAATACTTATTTCCCACAGTTAAATGCAAATCAATTTTTATCTTTTATATAACGTCAATTTCTGGATTTTCTTTTTGATATTCTTACTCTCATTGTTTATATAAACCTATCATAAAATGACAGACTGTTCATTTCTTTGTAAGTGGGTAAAATTACAAAATCTGCAGGGAATCAAATTTCCTCCAGTGTATATATAAAAACAAAATGGTCAAATAAAAATCAATATTTGTTTGGAAACAAATGCAGTTTGATTGCAGCACCAAGAATACTACTTTGAAGTGTATTTCTACTTTAAATGAATGGTCTGTATTGCTTTCTAGGGCTTCTCAATCAGACGTTTGAAAGATCGAGGCAGCATTGTTGCATGTTGTATTACTATAAACATATCCAAAATAAACTGACCTTTAAAAAGTGCTGTTGTTTGGTTTGTGGTAGCTTTGACCCAATCAAATCCTTGGCCTGAAGGACAGTCAGCTTGTTTGTATTGCACCACATGTTCCTTCAGGTTGTCTGAGGGCTGAGAGGGTGAATCCCAGGATACAGTGAGGTTCTCTTCATTCATCTCAACGTGAATAGCTTGATCTGTTTTCTCTTTACCTTAGAAAGACACACATGCTTTGTTATTTGATTTTGATAATACAAATATTCTTTCAATTACCTTATTTTACAAAGCTGCTCAAAGTGAATTTTACTGAAGAACCAAAAAAAGCCTAGATTTGATTGAGAAATGTTTAAGATATTTTATATATTGTGTCAATTATTCCATATTTGAAACACTGACTTGTTTTGATCTTACAATAAATGACCTTTGATGATATGCATCTACTTTTAGCACATATTCTATCAAAGTTACATACTTTTCATTCTAATTATGGCTTGAAACACGTGAGTGTGTAGTGCGTTTCAACAGAAAATTATATAGATTCTGTTTATGCGAGAGATTTAAAATAGATTGGCAAGAATTTCTGATTATGAGACGAAAGCTCAATGGACTTACTCAACTGTAAGTAAGGAGCGCTAAGCCGACGTGTTAAAGACTCAAGCGTTAGTTAAATAATAATTAAAGGTAGGGTATGTAAGTTTGAGAAACCGGCTCAAGATACACTTTTTGTTATATTCCATGGAATGCTCTTAACATCCCGATAGCAATGAATATTTTAAGTGCTTTGACAAAATATCCATAAAAAAAATGTCATCTGTGGAAGCCGTGGTACTGTAAAAAGCACGACCAATCATTTTAGCCGGCCCGGCTAAAATAACTGGATGGCCTACCTGCCTGTCAGCCTTCCATCTGTGCACAAACTTATCTCGTGCCCTCATTGGTCATGTGCGCGTTCGTGTGTGTTGGAGGAGGGGCTCTGTAAGGAAGTGGCAGATTTTCTCCGGTCGTGTATTTTCAAATTCTAGCGATCTCGAGCCGGTTTCTCAAACTCACATACCCTACCTTTAAAGATGGCTAGTGACAGTAATGTTTTAGTTGTTTTATTAAGCCTTCAAAAAATATGAAATAGGAAAGGTGAGTATGGTTTACATTTGTGACAAACAATATTATTTAACTGTAGTTCGGACCGTTAATCACAGTGATGTGATGTACACTGTGCATCTATATACTACTGGTAATGGCATTCTAAATCATCACATTTCTGCAGTATGCAGTACATGCTTATTGACTATGAAGTATGCAGTATGTCAACAGTGATTTCAAACACAGCCACAGTATGGGAGATCAAAAGATACCTGGTATCGGCAAAGTGAGGTTAGACGGCACCGTGGCCCCCTGAGCATTGTAGGCAGATACACTGACTGAGGATACGTCCTTTAGAGAGGACGTGAGGTGGCATTGTATCTCCTCACACACCAATAAGCCCTTTGGCTCAGCTGTAGACACATTCAGCAACACCAGAGTGTCGATGTTGTAAGACAGTCTGGCTTCATATCCCAGAATTAGACCACAAGTCGGAGGAAGTTTCTTGATAGGGCGTGGAGAAAGACAGGTTAGCCACAGAGAGTCTGGATAAAGTGAGTCTGTGGTTCTTTATTTCAGTCAGAGAATAATGATTGTATGTAATTGTTTACCTACCTTCCAGGTCAAAACACAGTCAGAGCCTTTCTGAGTTATGCCACAGTCCTGCCATAGATCCAGCACTCCAACAGGGGCTAAAGACGGGAGGACCAAATAAGAGACCAGAAAGAATATTGCAAAATTAAAACCCAGTGCAGGTTTTCTGAACTCCTTGGTTCAGTTTTTGCAGGTAAAATGTTAATTTTGTTAAGTAGGGGGGATGATACCGATGGGGTAAATTAGAGGAGACCTCTTTGTTTGATCTGTGCATTATAACTGTCTCCATTAAACACATTTAAGTAAATATCTGTTAAGTGAATGTCTTCCAATTGGTTCACTCAAGCCGCTGCAAGAAACAACACAACTTTACGGTTTCATAACTGTATTTTACACAGTCACAACACCTGAAAAATTACTCAAACCCCCTTCTGTGGTCGTTTCAGCTACAGTAAGTGTTTACAGGAGTACATGTTGTGATGATGACACACACACAAAGACTAAAGTTAAAAAAACAATACCATCATCAGCAGTACTTTGTGCAATGACAATAAAGTTGAATCTAATCTAATCTAACAATCTTCTAATCTTAACGCTTCAGAAAAAAAAAAAGTGTTATTTCACAAAATGTCAAACTGTTTTTTAACTCAACAGTAGAACAAAAACAAAAACAAACTGGACATATATGGACCCACCTGTCTCTCTGCTTCGTAATCTGTGGATTTCACTCCAGTCGCTCTTCAAGTCTTCGCCACAGGAACAACAAACTTGATGTTCATAGACGGTGCTGGGCTGGGGATGGTCCATCGTATAGCTGAGATCATACTCATCCTCATCCTGTGTAGAGAGGGGGGGGGAGATGAAGCATTCATTCAGTTGACATAGCTTTAGTCAATCGACAATTTAAAATGTTTTATCTTTGTCAAGATTATCTTTGTGTCTGAACTCCATTTCGCAGTGTAGAGCATGTTGAGGTGAAGAAAAGGAAACTAGTGAAAGATAAAACCTAAACCAGACACCTCATGCCAGTCTTGTTCTGCCTCAGTCCGATATCGGACATCACAATGTCTCAAAAAGAGCTGCTCATCACAGGTGAAAGTCCAGTCAATTTTGAAGGAGTCTTGATGCGATGCTACTTTTGGAGGGGGCCACTTGCCTAGAAAAAAAGACATATACACAAAAACAATCCAATATGAAGTATCACTTCAATCTAAATCAGTAATTTCAAGATTAATATTAGGAGTGACAAAAGTCAGTACCAACTTTTCCCCCATAAATAGGTAAACAATGGTCATAATGGTTGGCATCAAATACTATTATTATTATAATTATAATTATAATTATAATTATAATTATAATTATAATAATTATTATTATTATTATTACTGCTGATAGTGGCCTTGTCTGTATTCAAACACAAGAACGTTCAAGACTGACTCACTGATATTTTCAGTATTGAGTATTGAGTATGGAGATTTAGCAGAACCATACTGGTTCTTAGCCTGGACCCGAACACGAAGTTTCCCGCGGTTGTATTGTTCGCGACAGATAATCCAATCCGAAGTGTTACCACTGATCCCCTGCTTCTCCCTGGAAAAGAGGAAAAGACAAGAGGTTTAAAACATATTTTATCAAAAGTTTTAAAGTTGTCAGATGACAGGACATTGAATATGTTAGTTTGTGTTTACTCGCTATCTGCTGGCTCCCAGTGCAGGCTGTACTCTGTGGAGTTCCGAGGGTCCAGGCCAGGATTACAGTGGATATCTACGCAATTGTTTTTCTCACCACATGGGATATAGCACTCAGGACGAGAGGGAGCAACAGGAGGACCTGTACGAATAAACAGGATAAGGGATACAACCAAAAGTGAAAAACTCTGTTCAAAGTATATTCCTATACAAATATCTCATTTTGAAACGAAAAGTGTTTCAACTGAAACTGACCATTATCATTTTCACAAAAGTAGGAGCTGTTGAATTAGGGTGTGTTTGGTTAGTGTATGAGAAAAAATAGGAACGTAGAACTCCAACCATGTCATCAGAAAGACAGGTCCTTCATTATTCTTAAACACCACTTAACACGTGTCGTATGAAGTGCCCCTTAAACATTATACTGTCCTGAACAATACATGCCACGCCAAAATGGAAGTACCAGTCACAATAGGGAAATATACTGTGACAGACTTCCAGGATATCGTGAGTAAAAAAAAAGTCATTTTCAAAGAAACATTCAAATAAAGACTTTTCATAAAACTCTCCATAGTTCATTCCAGTCAAAACATCCAGTATTGATTTACTGTCAGTTTGAGCACTTTTACCAGTGCAATTTAAATATGAATTCTTATTACTATTCATTAGTGTTTTTGTCAGATAGTTTTAATTTTCAAAACAGTAAAGAGATGGCCAGTGAATAGCTGATAGAGAATATAAGAGAGCACCAGAAAGCAACAGGTGAACCACAAGAAAAGTACAGAGATCTAAACACTCTTACGTGTATCCGCCCATACCCACAAACTCACTCACACCTTTTGTTACATTTAAATTATTGCTCAAAAACGTTTAAGTTATGATCAAATAAATGCCTGTGCACCGCACCTTGCAAGGAAGAGCACCGACTTTAACAGGAAATGAGGCCTTGTTTAGGTCTGTGCCCAAATGCAACGTTCCTTTGTAACCACTTCCTTCTTCTAAAGAAGAGACATTAATGCCAGATCATACTGAAGTCAACAAATTAGAAAACCTCTGGGCATGTGATCAGCATGTTTCGGTACAAATAGCCCTTCGTCAAAACATGTAAAGCTTGATGTAATGCCTTTAGTGTAAGCACAACATCCCATCAGGGAAATGTATTAAACATGTACTTTATATTTTTGTGAAGCAGTTTTGTAGTGGTACACCAAGGAACTAGATTATTGTACTATAGTGTTACCAAAGCTTGGACAACGCAAGTTATATTGCATTCAAATGTAATGTTGTAGCTGGTTGAATTTGAGCTAGTTTGACAAACTTTACTTTATCCAACCTTTGGTATTTAGGTTTTAAACACAACGTAATGACAAGCAGATAATTTATTTAGTAAGAGAACAATCTTACGCAGCAAAGTAGGAAGTCTCATAGATCTTATAAATAAATGTAGTGGACTAAATTGGCAATATTTTCTCTACATAGGGTAGTCAATTTATACATTAGAAAAAACACACACAAAGTAACAAAAGCACAGTAAAAATATGATGGAAAGGAAGAATTTAGCATATACATATTTAATTTACATAGCAAAAACACAAAATAAGCCTACCTTGAGCAAGACAATTTAGCAGGTTGGCCAACAACATGGAAAGAAGCCACCTTGTCCAAAGTGTGGCCATTACATTTGGACCCAGACCTTTAGTGCCTGTACAAAAAATACACATAGCCTATATACATTATGAATACACAGAAAATGTATCATCCACAGAAGGGGCAACATTCAACATGTATTTAAAAAAAGCATTTGAGCATTTTTTTCGGATTAAATGTAGTGAGTCATAATCACAAGCACGTGCATCGAAACACTGTAGGTTGTACGACGCTGAAGTTGTACATAAATAGCATACATGCGGACAGTCCCGTTACATTTACTGTAACGTTAGTGAGTTTATACATACGTAGTAACGGTATAGTTAATACATAAAGGCACAGCGGCAACAGTCCAAATACTAAGTGAAAGTAGCCCAAAACCGTAGTTCGTATCTGAATTTTGTTAAATTTAAAGCGACATGTTTAAAGATGTTTAGTGATTCAATATGACTTAAAAACATTTACCTCGTTATGAGACACGCTAGGGTGTCTGTCGTGCATCCCGCAGCCATATACAACCTTGTTTCAAAGTTTGTTGTGAAGCTTAAAATGTTTCTTCAGTTTTTACCGGTGCCTCATCCTGATGGGTCGCCCCCTTTCTGGAAATGCCGTGACGTAAACATACTTTTACACTTCCTGCACTGTCTGCTGCAGGTCCAAAACAATCAGAGGAGGGAGAAGTACTCAGATCTTGTACTTTAGTAAAAGTAGAAGTATCAAAGTGTAGGAATACCTCGTTACAAGTAAAAGTCCTGCAATAGAAGGGTCATTCCAGAATTGGAGGACAATTTAGACACCAACATTTTTGAAAAATGAACCTTTCATTTTATTATTTTTTGTTATGTATTTAGGAAAAACAGATAATAAACCATCAAAAAAAGTGATTTGCCCAGCTAAGGCATCAAATGTATATTTTCCAATGAAGAATTAACCCTGTTACTCTAGTAACAGGGTTGCAAGTAACAGGGTTGAAAATCAATGCTAATTTTAGCTTTTACCTCAGGAATTAATGCTAGCTGCACAATGTAATGCTATTGTCAAGGAATGGACACACTTAGATATTTAACTAAAGAAAGATACATTTGAAATTAATTTGTTTTAGTCTCATAATGTGAGTAACAGGGTTGCGTTTGTATGAGTGCCACACTCCTTCAAGAGTGACAAGATTGGAAATATATTACAAATAAAAGAGAGGACTTAGTTTTGGTCTACCCATGGTAGTAGCACATGGCTTGCTGATGTCCTTTCCACTGTGTCATGCGACAAACAGTTTTTTCACTTCCTCTGCCAAGCTAAAAAGGTTTCGGTAACAGGGTTGCGCGCATGTTGAGGGACACACCTTCTGTGCAAAATTACTGTTATTTAAAATGTGTTTATGATTTAACAAATTGATTTTACCATTACAAGACACATATATCAATAGAATAATACCAAAAAAAGTAAATAAAAACCCTATTTGAAATGTTATATTTGACATGCAAGTTGGTCACCAAAAAGCTGGGACAAGAGAAAAGGGCAATTTTAGGGGGTGTTCGAGAGCTATTTGATATTTTAAATAATATTTTGAAACCACTTTTTCTACAACTTTATATGCATCTTGTCTCAAGACAAGTATATTTAACACAACAAGTGTTACGATCTGTCTGTGTTGGGTTTTTTCTTGTCTTTTTCTGTCTTTTGTTTCCTGTTTTGTTTTGAAAAGTGTTCACCCCTGTCCTGCCTGATTGCCCGATTGTGTTCACCTGGTGCCCCTGTGTTTTCTCCTCCCTCCTCACCTGTGTCTTGTTTGTGTGATTGGTCTTGTGTGTATTTTAGTTCTGGTTTTTCTGTCTGTCATTGTTGGTTCATTGTTTGTAGTTGACTGTGTGTCACAGGGTAGTGTTCTGTGTTTCTACTTTGTACCTTGGAATAAAGGACTATTCTTGGAAATCTGCATTTGGGTCCTGCCTGCTTACTCAACCCTGACAGAATGAACCAACCAGAAATGGGCCCAGCAGATCCATTTGAGGTGGAATTACAACATTTTACCTTTTCTTTGGCTTGCTGCTATAGTAGGTGGAGGGGAGCGTCCAGTGTTCAGCAGAGGGAGGCTGCTCTGGCAGAGGCTCACCAGGTGGCAACAGTGGATCCATCTCTAGTTAAGTTCTTACCTGACTGGATTTTGGATTTCCTCTCGACGTGTGATTCCCGGCCTGCTAGCCCCAGGCATGCTAGCCCCCTGCCTCCCAACTCCCAACCTAACACCATACATCTCGGTGTGTTCCGTCTGAAGTCAACCCCTGCTTCTTCCCCATTTCCTGCTCCTGTCCAGGAGCCGTTCGCGGGCACTCGTCTGGCTTTTGGAGGTCCACGGAGCCTCCAAAAGGCTCCTAGGAGAAGGAGTCGCAAGTCCAGGCTAGCAGCCCGACCCCCAGAAGCCATGCTTTGGGCTCCAGTACAGGCCCCAGCAGCCATGGTTCCGTCTCCAGAACCGGCCCTCACAGCCATGGTTCCAGCCCCAGTTCTGGCCCCAACAGCCATGGTTCCGGCTCCAGAACCGGCCCATGCAGCCATGGTTCCAGCCCCAGTTCTGGCCCCGGCAGCCATGGTTCCGCCCTCTGTTCCGTGGCGAGACTTTGAGGAAAGCCAGCGGTCCTTGGCTCTATGCTTCCCGGGCCTCGCTGCTCGGGTCTCGACTTTGACGTCTTCTGCTGCATTTCCTGCCTCCTCCAGTCCACCTGTGGATTCCACTCCAGCACCTCGTGTCCTGTCGGTGGTCCGGCCGACTCCAGCACCCCGTCTCCTGTCGGTGGTCCGGCCGACTCCAGCACCCCGTCTCCTGTCGGTGGTCCGGCCGACTCCAGCACCCCGTCTCCTGTCGGTGGTCCGGCCGACTCCAGCACCCCGTGTCCTGTCGGTGGTCCGGCCGACTCCAGCACCCCGTGTCCTGTCGGTGGTCCGGCCGACTCCAGCACCCCGTCTCCTGTCGGTGGTCCGGCCGACTCCAGCACCCCGTCTCCTGTCGGTGGTCCGGCCGACTCCAGCACCCCGTGTCCTGTCGGTGGTCCGGCCGACTCCAGCACCTCGTGTCCTGTCGGTGGTCCGGCCGACTCCAGCACCTCGTGTCCTGTCAGTGGTCCGGCCGACTCCAGCACCCCGTGTTTTGTCAGTGGTTCGGCCCACTCCAGCCCCTCGTGTCCTGTCGGTGGTCCGGCCGACTCCAGCCCCCCGTGTCCTGTTGGCTCTCCGGCCGACGCCAGCCCCCCGTGTCCTGTTGGCTCTACGGCCGACGCCTACCCCATGTCCTGTACCGTTGGAGGTCCCGCCGACTACTCTCCTGCCGGGGGTCTTGCCAACCCTATGTCCTGTGATGTTGGAGGTCCCGCCGACTACTCTCCTGCCGGGGATCCTGCCAACCCTATGTCCTGTGCTGTTGGAGGTCCCGCCGACTACTCTCCTGCCGGGGGTCTTGCCAACTCCATGTCCTGTCCCGCCGACTGCTCTTCTGCCGGGGGTCCTGCCGGTCCTGTGTCCGGTGCCGTTGGAGGTCCCGCCGACTACTCTTCTGCCGGGGGTCTTGCCAACCCTATGTCCAGTGCTGTTGGAGGTCCCGCCGACTACTCTCCTGCCGGGGGTCTTGCCAACTCCGTGTCCTGTCCCATTGGGGGTCCCGCCGACTACTCTTCTGCCGGGGGTCTTGCCAATCCTATGTCCTGTCCCGTTGGGGGTCCCGCAGACAACTCTCCTGCCGGGGGTCTTGCCAACTCCATGTCCTGTTCCGTTGGGGATCTCGCCGACTACTCTTCTGCCGGGGGTCTTGCCAATCCTTTGTCCTGTCCCGTTGGGGGTCCCGCCGACAACTCTCCTGCCGGGGGTCTTGCCAACTCCATGTCCTGTCCCGTTGGGGGTCCCGCCGACAACTCTCCTGCCGGGGGTCTTGCCAACTCCATGTCCTGTCCCGTTGGGGGTCCCGCCGACAACTCTCCTGCCGAGGGTCCTGCCAACTCCACGTCCAGTATCGTTGGAGGTCCTGCCGACACCTGTTCCGCTGTGGGTCCTGCCAACCCCTTGTCCTGTCCCGTTGGGGGTCCCGCCGACACCTGCTCCGCCGGATTTCCTGCCAACACCAGATCCTGTCCTGTTGGGGGTCCCGCCGACACCTGTCCCGCCGGGGGTCTTGCCAACTCTGTGTCCTGTTCCGTTGGGGGTCCAGTCGACACCAGCCCTTGCTCCATCCGGGGTCCCATTGACACCAGCCCATGTCATGTTCAGGATCCCGTCTACGCCTGTCCCGTCGGCTCCGGTTCCTGTCAGGCCGATACTGGGTCCTGCCCGGCCTCCGGAGCTGTCCCGTCGGCTCCGGTTCCTGTCAGGCCGATACTGGGTCCTGCCCGGCCTCCGGAGCTGTCCCGTCGGCGCCTTCCTGCCCGGCCTCCGGAGCTGTCCCGTCGGCGTCTTCCTGCCCGGCCTCCGGAGCTGTCCCGTCGGCACCTTCCTGCCCGGCCTCCGGAGCTGTCCCGTCAGCGCCTGCCTGCCCGGCCTCCGGAGCTGTCCCGTCGGCGCCTTCCTGCCCGGCCTCCGGAGCTGTCCCGTCGGCGCCTTCCTGCCCGTCCTCCGGAGCTGTCCCGTCGGCGCCTTCCTGCCCGTCCTCCGGAGCTGTCCCGTCGGCGCCTTCCTGCTCGTCCTCCGGAGCTGTCCCGTCGGCGCCTTCCTGCCCGGCCTCCGGAGCTGTCCCGTCGGCGCCTTCCTGCCCGGCCTCCGGAGTTGTCCCGTCGGCACCTTCCTGCCCGGCCTCCGGAGCTGTCCCGTCAGCGCCTTCCTGCCCGTCCTCCGGAGCTGTCCCGTAGACGCCTTCTTGTTCGCCCTCGAGCCCGGCCCCCTGAGTGCCGCGGTCTTCGCCCTCGAGCCCGGCCTCCTGAGTTCCCCAGCCGTGGTCTTCGCCCTCGAGCCCGGCCCCCTGACTCTTCCAGCCGCTGCCTTCGCCCTCGAGCCCGGCCCCTTGAGTTCCCCAGCCGTGGTCTTCGCCCTCGAGCCCGGCCCCCTGACTCTCCCAACCACTGCCTTCGCTCTCATGCCTGGGTCCCCGAGTTCGCCCGCTGTGGCCTTCGCCCCTTTTTGGACTCTGCCTTGCTCCCGGGCCGTCCGCCCGGGACCCCTTCCGGGCCCGTCCTCCGGACCCCCTCCACCCACCCTGTTGGTCCTGGTTGTGCGTCCCTCCTCCAGACCCCCTCCACCCACCCTGTTGGTCCTGGTTGTGCGTCCCTCCTCCAGACCCCCTCCACCCACCCTGTTGGTCTTGTTTTTCTGTCTGTCATTGTTGGTTCATTGTTTGTAGTTGACTGTGTGTCACAGGGTAGTGTTCTGTGTTTCTACTTTGTACCTTGGAATAAAGGACTATTCTTGGAAATCTGCATTTGGGTCCTGCCTGCTTACTCAACCCTGACAACAAGTGCATGTCTTAGCTTTTTGGGCATGGATTATTAGATTTTTTTTATATGGGGGACATGAAATGTCCTCCAATTCTGGAATGACCCAGAAATGTTACTCAAGTAAAAGTACAACTTTCAAAATATACTTCAGTAAAAGTAGCCTACTCATTGTGCAAATTGGCCCATTTCAGAATTATATATGATATGTTTTGATTATAATTATTGATGCATTAATGTGTTTATCAAAGCTGGTAAAGGTGGAGCTAGTTTAAATACTTTGTATACTGCAGGATAACTTGTGAATGTAACTCCAGGTTCTCCAACTAAAGTATTTTTTAAGTGTTGTTTATATATTTATCTTATTAATCAAAATCTGCAAAGAAACTAAAGGTATAACATATATGTAGAGGATTTAAAGAACACTTTACCTCTGAATTGAAGTGGGGTCGAAGTACAAAGTAGCAAAACATTGAAATACTCAAGTAAGGTACAAGTATCTCAAAATTGTACTTAAGTACTGGGACGGGTCTGTTTTCTGTCCCCAGCCCAGGGTCACAACTAAACATGGAGAAGGAGCGTTCAGTCATTATGCTCCAAACATCTGGAACAAACTACCAGAAACCTGCAGGTTCGATGCAACTTTTACTACTTTTAAATCCAGGCTGAAGACGTTTCTTTTAATCATTACTTTTAATTGAACTATTCATATATCTCACACTGCAATGTAACTTTTATTCATGTATTTTATACCTGTGTCATTCATGTTTTATGTTTATTTGATTATCTTTGCTTTTTAATGACTGTTTTTAAACGCCATTTTATAATGTGTTTCCGGTGGAGTATTTCTTAATGCTCTTTCATTTTTGTAAAGCACTTTGAATTACCTTGTGTAAATATTAAATAGACAAATACATCTGATTGACAGAGAGCTGTGATATTGGTGCTATATAAATAAACTTCACTTGCCTTGAGTTACCTTACGCCACTAAAAACATTTAATGTCATATCGAAACAACACTGGTGACTTTTATCTTAGCTTTTGTGATAATAAACCTCACCAGATATCACAGTAACTGATAAGAGCTCGCTTGAAACTCACTGCACAGTAGCAATGGAGTAAAGTAAATAACATTTAATCAAGTGCTGCATGCACTTAAGTACAATTTTGAGGGACTTTTACTTTACTTGGGTATTTCCATTTGTTGGTACTTTACTTTGTACTTCTACCCCTCTAAAGTTCAGAGGTAAATCTTATACTTTTACTTTTAGTTACTTTGGAGATTTTGTTCAATGATGTGAAAATATAATCAACACTTAATAAGACTTTAGTTACAGCTGGAGTAACTCTACCGTTACCACATTTGATCACACTCTTGCATCAATAATTATAATCAAAAGATATATGAACATGCTGCTTAAGATTAATTTTAAAGAACTTTGACTAATTTAAAGATATAGATACTTGCTGGTCAACAAAGAATAGTTTGAAAAATATATAGACTTGTGATTAATTGTAATTGTTCTGTCGTATATTCTATTCCTTTTTAGTATTGTTTCTTTGTTGCTCTCCAAATAATGTCTCATCTTAGACAATGTCTTCCACCCTTCATCTTAAACCCTTCAGATTTATTGATCTTGTGACCTTTTGGAGAGACCATACCTCGATTTGGAACCACTTCACTAAAAGGGAAGCAATGCAAAATACCAACAATCTACAGACGCAGAAAAACGTTTATTACAATGTGTGTGACAATTATTGGACAAGACAAAACTGCTTGGTTCAAGACTAATAATTAAGGCTGTTCATTTGTAACCATAAAATAAAATGTAAACATTTAAAACACATGGCAGCCCTTTCCTTACAATTCAAACAAAGAACAAATTAAACAGTTCACAATAGTTTAACTCAATAAAGAATGTCTTAAATGCATGACAAGTGGAAAAAAAGGAGTGTGTGTCTGTTTGTGTACTTGTGTATATGTCTGCCAGTTTGTTCACTCATATGGCGAAGGTTGACTCAGCACAGGGAGCTGATCTCGCTCTTGCTGCAGCCCCACTTGCAGCAGGCATTGGACAGGCCCACCACTACGTCCCGGCCCTTGCGGTCAGCCTTGCGTAGGGCTTGCAGGATTTCTTCAGTGATGAAAGAACGGGCTGGCCTGCTGAACACTCCCTCATGGCTGTCTGTAGTGGTGAAGCTCAGATCTCTGTTCCTCTGGAGGAGACTCTCCACCACAGGATTGTGAATCAAGCCCTCCGAGGACTCCATCTGACTGGAGCTGAATGGGTCCTCTGAATCATCTGCAGCAGCAAAACAAGGAATTACAAAAAACATACTTGCATTTCTCTTCCATATTGAGATTAAATAATAGTTTGTCATTAAGATGGCATAATGTGAAAATAGAGTAATTAATCCCCGGAACGTTTCTAGGGAAATAGCAAACGATAACCAAAACTAAGTTATTGCGCAGTCAAAAGCTCAAAATAACAATTTTGGGGTTCAAGCAACCGGTTCAAGATAACCCTTCTAATGACGATGCAAATGAAAATAGAGCTCTACATTCCATATAATGTAAACACTGACTAAGCCAATTATACCACACAGTATGATCGTTCAATACAAATGTATATAGTATTTTCTGCATATCTGCATTTAAAATAACATCATAATGCCACATGTTTTTTTGCCAAATTACACACAATCACAAATGAGCATAAGATGGTAAAGAAACGTAATCATGGACATACATTAAATCTACAGAAATACTGAAATAAATAGTAATATTGATACATCTGATTTAATTTGATGACTCAAACATACAACTAAAGCATATTTTAGTTACCAGATAAAATCATATATACGTAATCATCAGATAAAACCCTAACAGTGATGGTAACTAGAGACCTAACAAGGTCAGTGATGGATGTAGTGCCCTCAGCCTCTCACCTGAACTCCTGAGTGAGCGTCTCCATCTAGAGCCTCCACAGGTGAAGATGACTGCCCGGATGAACTCACGGCCACATAGCTTCACTCCATATGTTGGGACGTCAATGGGCTGAACCCCAGCCACCAGCAGACACACAGCCAGTACCACTGCTTTCCACATAGTACCACAAGGAAATAAAGCAAAATATAAATGGTAACAATTACAGGAGGTTCTTTGCTTCAAGCAACACTTGGATTTCTGTCTCCCTGTTTGCAAGAGCTATGACTTTCTAGCTGACCCAGGTGTGGTTTATAAAGGGTTTGAAGCCCTGCATGGCAGACATGCAGCGCATGCAGGACTTTGCTGTAACAGATTTGAAAAAGAGATACAGTCAGAGACCTTTATGGAGACAAAAGGCAGACCAAAGGTGGCATAATTAATGAATATGCCAGAGGCCTGATGATAAAATTGTGTTTCATCATGAGAAGCATTTCTGTCACCTTTAATGTCCCTTAGTTTAAACTTTACCTACATTTTATATACAGTTCCAACCCAAATGTAAGAAATATCTGACCCTGTGACATAAAGAACGTTTAAAAAGCAAACCTGTCCCGATACGTTTTGTAAAGGCATGTCACTTTAAGATAAAAGCCATACATTTTTTCTATATATTTTAACCCTAAAAATGGCTAAATTAACGCTATAATATCTCATTTCCCCACCTTAGATGTTTTGAAAGATGCAAAGATGTTCTAACTGTTAAATAAACGAGTCATTTTGAAAAAAATACCACATCATATTTGTAAAGTTAAATAAAAATACAAAATAAAAATACATATGCCATTGCCTGAACACATGAATGAACCTTTCCAGCCAAACTACGCATGTTGCATGAGTTTCCCCGATAAGATTTAACATTTGCTGACATCACTATAGGGTTACATTAAGGCCATTGTGACTGATATCACAATTATTTACATATTATTTATATCCGCTTGGCCATAATGAATCTACGTAAGACCCTGCATGACTTCATTTATGTATAATTTTTCCATTCTTTTGAAAATTGCTTATTGAGTCATCATCTCTTTGCCAAAAGGTGAACTGGGAGGACTGAGACAGGACCAGTGACATTTTCAAAGGTAGATAACATAGAAGTCTTATTATGAGTCAGACAAAAATAAAACACATTTTTATCTGTGTATCCACATAGTCAAAGGTCGTTCGTTCACAGGAAATTACAATGGGGATGATGAATTTGTAATTAATGTGACGATCGCAAGCAAACAATGACATTTTATGAGGGTGTCCACCCTGATATTCATTACCACAGTGTCACATAGGTGACCTGAGGAGGTCATGGGAGCAATGTGAAAATCAATGGCCCATACAAATGTGTAGTGTATTAACACTGCACTGTAGATAAATGTATATAGTCCTAAATTGTATATAATTTGATTTATTTGTTTACTTTTAAATAATGTAGCCTACAAACACTTTTCTTTTTTAATACACTGCAGGTGTTATCATTTAATATGTACTGTTGGATGGCTGCTGCATAACTAAATGAAATTCCATAACTGGTAACTGTTGGCTGTTCACACTTCAGTTGTTAAACCAGAAATACAATCTGATGCATTGTATTTCATCCTACAATGTTCAAAAAGGGTCTTCTTTGCTAAATAAATCTAAGGCATAACAGAAGCAGAGTTTAAAGTTTACAATATATCAGAAGAGGCAAATAGTCAAACTGCTAGGCTATAAGGGCATTCAATGAATGAGCTTGGTTACAATGAATCCAGGTGTACCAGACCGATCATCATCACCAAAGACAAGTGGATAGGCTATGGACAGTCGGTTTTACATTTTAGATAGAGTTACTATGATAATGACACTATCAAATCACTAACTGGAGAATTTGGATAAGCACTCAGATGAACCTATTACTTTCCCTGACATAGCATCCGCCTTACTCGTACGAAAATTATGTGTGATAGACAGGGATGTTCCACAAATGGGCGTGGAAGGCTTTGTAGTAGAAATTCGCTGCTCCTGTGACTTTAAGACTATTTGGCAGCACTCAGCCAATCAGAGCGACGGAGGGGGAGGGAAGGGAGCGGGTGGGTAGCAACAGTTGCCCTGGTGAGGACGAACCGCCATAGCCACGGTAGCCCTGGCGACAAGAACCCAGCAACGAGAATCAACAACAACAACAACTGAATCCGCCATAAAAATAAAAGAAGACAATTTACCGGTGGGAAATACACACGTGGATACAGAGGTGAAGCTCTTTACATGTAGAATATTTTATGTCCAATATTGCTTCAACTGAATTGTGCTATTGCTATTTCCCTTGTTGTTTCAGTAGCCATAACAGGCAACTGCCTCCTAGTGTTAGCTGAAGTTAGCCTGAAAGCTAGCCGTCGTATTGATAATAATGCGAGTCCGTTTCTTGAACGGGGTAGTTCCTGTCCGCTACTCATTCGAGTGACACTGGATTGAGCTTGCCATGACGACGCAGCCACAGATGCATACTCAAGCAGGCCGTTGTTATGGCGATGTCAAATGCAAAAGGCACAAAATGGCGGTTGTTGTAGAGACCAGTTAGCTTGCTGTCTGTGTTACCTTGCTGGAAAGCTAGGTCTGTCACGACAGACTTGTGCTTGTTACTGCTTACAATTAACCACAACACGTAGCAGTAACGTGTAACACTGTTTTTGTACGATAATGAAATGTACGTGCATTCTATGGCTGTGTAATGCGGGATGTTTTTTCCAGCAGACCGGCATAAAACCTTGTCCCTGTGTACATGACGTTGCCTACCCAAAAGGTAGATCAAATTAGGACAGTCAAGTTAAAAGTGTGTCTAGATTGGGTTTAGTGTTTATTTAGAAGCAGATTTGGAAAAATAGCTGTTGGAGAAATATCGATAATAAAGTAGAAAGCTAGAGGCAGGTGTCGGACATTTAATATCCGAGGGGCGTGGTGAAGGAAGACGTTTTGCAGGTGCTCTGCAGGTCCGAATTCAGTTTAACTTGTTGTTTTACTGAACTGCTATCTGAGTGTTAAAGATTGGCTATTAACATCAGCACTAAAAAACACATTTGTAGACACAGATTTAGGTAATTATAAACCTTCCCATTGGTCTTCAGTCGATTAAACAACGATAAAAAAGGCAGGAGGGGTATAAAATAGTATAAATTATATTGTATACGTCACAAATACACAAATTAAGGGCAATAATGTGATCTCCTCGTAAATGTGTGTGACGAAACTCATTTGCAACAGAATGCATTGCAGTATTAGTTCAACTGTGTAAGGGATTTTCCCACACAGTAGTGCCTGTGTTGAATGGCCATAGGATGTGTGATCACATTACAGGTAATGAGAAACCGAAATGCCTGTTCCCGTCAATGCTCCTCCCCCACATCTCCACATCAGCTACTCCACCAACAGGTCAGCTACAGTAGTTCTTAGAAAAGGAATAAGGAGCATCTGATGTTGATCTCTATTTCCCCAAACTATTTATACATTTGTGCAACCAACATAAAATGTTCAAGTATTGTCATCAATGTCATTTTACAAGATGGACCCCCGACTCCAAAATATGAATGAATGACTCAATACTACTTGTTAAACATTTCAAAGTTAAGGGAATACAAGCAGCTGTAGTTTATTCTGCTCTCCTCTACAAAAGTCTGAAATTGTATCCCTCTTTCCTTTGAAACTCTTACTAGCTCTCTGTCCCCTGCCCCGTGTCTGTCTGAATGATTATATGGTGGATTGGAATACAAACTGACATCTAGCTATTCTGACCAAATAGGAAATAAACCGTTCCAGTCCCGGTTTTCAGTCTGGAACATTCTGATCCTCCCTTAATGATAGCAGTTAATGCCTGTTTCCTTTTTCTAGGGTGATTCCCAGCTCCTGCAATGGCCACCTCAGGCTACGTAGGTGAGATCCAGCCAGCAGCCCAACCCCAGGGGGCCGTAGTAACCATCACATCGGGGCAACCTGACGCCAGTTCTACCCCTGCAACCTCCCCGCAGTTTCTGGCTGAGATTCGGACCGCTGTGGCCGCTCCCACTGTTCTCACACAAACGGGCCAAACTACTCCCCCTGATCAAGCCCTCTCCATCAGCTCTCCGGAGCCTGCAGATGGTTCCCAAGCCCAGTCCAACGCTCAAGCCCAGCCTCCTCAGACACAATACGTGACCGCAGAGATCCAGGGCTCCCCCTCACAGTCTGGAAATGCTCAAAGCACCCCTCAGTACATTGTTGTTACAGTCACAGGTAAGTCTGAAACAGGGCCAGTTCAGGGTCTGCACTTTACCGTATTAATCCACATTTTAATAGTTACTCCTCATAAAAAAGGAGCAGCTTAAAAACGTTTATTAATATAAAATATTATTGAAGAAATATGTGTAAACACATGTATTTTAAAGAATCAAAACTTATCAAATTGAATAACACCTTATGTTCCTAAGGGCAGTCAGTCAAGGCACTATAGTTGCCTTTCTACAACATTTCTTGTCATATTTATTTATTCTTTGTTTAATCAGATGGATTCATTGAGATTAAGATCTATTTTCTTAGAAAGACATGAGAACAAAACACATTCACAAGTACAGAAACAACACAGACAGATTCAACACCACTACACAATAACAAGGACAACTGTTATGGATACTTTTGCCTGAATGGTGAAATGAACGAAATGTGAACCTACAAAAATTGAATTATATCAACAGCTTCATTCAAAGTTAAATCATGTATCACATTTGAATGTATTAACATTCCCTCTATGTCTCTCAGAGGGCTCCCTTCACTCCTGTGACAGCATGTCGGACTCTAGCCCCCCCCCAGCTGTGGTGCAAACAGGAGTTCCCACGCAGGTTGTTCAACAGGTTCAGTCAGCTCAACAGGTAAAATAATAATACTATAATATAACTATAGTATCACAATAATACACATTATAACACAACAACAAATTAATATGTCCTTCACTCTTAAAACTATATAGTATGTTTATCTCTGCAGAGATCTGTGGTGCAGGCTACTTCTCAGATAGCCAAGACTGAGCCCGGTACACAGCTCAGTGTCACCAGCCTGCAACCTGTTCATATCGGCCAGGAGGTAAGTCAAACACACACAGTAACACAACTCATCATTGGTGATAA